CAAAGAAATTCGCCCGTATCTCTTACGAAGAGGTAAGAGCGAAAGCTTGCGCACAGGTTGCCGATGAAAGAAATCAGCGATACGTGGTGACGCAGGAGTGGGCGTGCAAGCAACCGCTGTGCATCATCGTCGATGAGTGTCGTCGACGTCGAGAACGTGCGGAACGGGCCAGTCCTTTGGCGCGAACACTCCAAGATCGACGACGGTCCAGTACGAGGGAGCGTTCTCCCCATTCGATCGATCACGAGCATCGTAGTACGAACGTTTTGAAAAAGGTGTGCGGACAAAGAAAAGACCCCCAAAAAAAAGCAAAACTCAAGAACGTCGAAGTTGAAGGACGACGAAGTGTGCGATTCAGGGAGAGAGTGAGAGAAAATGGAGGAACGTCCCGCCGCGATTCCGCTATTAACTCCGTCGTGTTCCTCCAGTTAGACGCGCGAGGATTATCGAAAGAATATGCGACTTTTCGATGTTCGTTCTCTTTTGCGACGAATCGATCGTATTCTGTTCTCGTCGATTTTCAGCCTGTACTCGTATGTAAAAGCCAGATTAAAGCTACACGAAACGCTGCACATCCTAGCTGAACGCAAGGTTTCTAGAATTTGATCAAGCTCGCCGCATTTCTTCGATCAACGCGACTCTTCTTTTCTCTGTCGTTATTTCCTTATCACGTTTCTTGTATATTTCTTTCCCTTTCTCGAACGTTTTGTCGCGTTAAACAGTGCGTTTTTTTTTTTACTTTTCACCTCCTTTCAACGGAATTTTTATTTTGCCTGGGATAAATTGGCGATATGACTTTTCTTAATATTTGTAATTCGACTGTTTCACATCGTTTCGCGCGAAATTCACGTTTTTCCTGCTAGCGTTGCTAAATATTATAAACGAAAGGAAGGAGCTGTGTGTTTGTGACATGGAAACGCGATCGAACTGATATTGATAATCGTGGTTGTTTCAGTGCGCTACTATGAAGCCGAAGAAATTGGGAATAATCGGCGGATCGATGCTCGCTTTCGGAGTGCTCTTCTGTGCAGTGATCTTTCCTCCCTTTCTGAGATCGCAAATCAAGAAGGTAAACAATGAAACGAGAAGATAAAAATAAAGGAACACCGATGACGAAGTGTTTCGTTTATCCTTCGAACGTATATTAGATCGTTTAATATAAAATGTCGGATTTCTAATTATTCGCAAATTAATCTCTCGAGTGTTGTAAAGTTCTGAGTTTCTTCGTGTAGAAAGTTGTGAAATATAAAATGACTTATTCGAATTTTCTATAAATTGTACAGTTATCAGAGAGAAACTAGAATGAAAATTATCTCTGTAAGAAAAGAGCGAGAAAGAGTTCGGATGACTTTTGTAGTTCGATTAATTATCGGTCATTATCTGCTTATGGCAAGGCAATGTATGATATTGATGGATAGACAGTTCGAATCGAAGAGATACGAGAACAGCGACGATGACATGGCGACAAAAAGGAAAAAATAACGATGATGTGACATACTGGATCTGTGAACGACAATTATCCTTTGAACATTTTATACTATAATACCAAACGTTATATCGAATGAGTAGGATTTTCTTTTGTTTTTTATTCTACAAATTTTTTCCTGCATACACACCGGTTATGCGTTGAAACGAACGTTCTAAGTAACAGTATAAACACCGACGGGTTTCCAGTGTCGGACAATTCGGAAAGAAATAGTAACTAAATGTAGGACGATTAATGTGAATGATCGTGTGAAATGTTTCATTGCAGCAAGTAGCGTTGAAAGACGGCTCTGAGATGCGAGATCTGTGGTCGAATTTCCCTCTTCCCTTGGACTTTATGATTTACCTTTTCAACGTGACAAATCCTACCGAAATAATGGCAGGAGGGAAGCCTATTCTGAAAGAGATAGGACCATTCTTTTACGAGTAAGCGCTTTCGACGTTAATTAAATAAATTTAACGCGAAATATCAATTTTACCGATATAGAGATACTTGATTTCACTAATTGCAAGTGTTCAGAAATTTTAAGTACGTTTCAGCTTTTATAGATAAACTTGAATATTCTTCGATTCACGTTAGTTCGATTTTCTGTTTTCAAAGGTACCTGTACAAACTGTAATACGAGTCACTCAGGAGCAAAAGTGATTAGATTTATTAAATTTTCTTCGTTTACGAAGAATTAAGCACCGAGCACGTGTACTTCGATACGAAAATTCGAAGAATATTAAAAAGTTGAGTTAACATTGTAATTTCACCTTCCCAGTGGCTCGTATAATAATATTTAATCACATTCTTAGCTTTCAATTTTTTCACACGACTCCGTAAACACTTCGTTCTTGAAGAATCAAATTATAAACTTCATTTCCAGCGTTTATCTAGTCGGAATTGATTAAAATTGGATCGTAAAGGAGAAGGTGCTCGTAGGTTAGCAAGTAAGATACGGTAACGATCGATCGATCGATTTTACAGCGAGTACAAGCAAAAAGTGGACCTCGTGGACAGAGAAGAAGACGACAGCCTGGAGTACGGTTTGAAAGCAACGTGGTATTTCAATCCGTCGCGAAGCAACGGTCTGACCGGCGAGGAAGAGATCGTGTTCCCTCATGTTCTTATCCTCAGTATGATTAAAGTTACCCTCATGGAACAACCGGCCGCGATCGGGATTCTCAGTGAGTGTGTCGATTATTCTTTCTGTTCAGTCGCACTCTGTCGCACGTTCCTCGAAAGCGTCGAATCGAACGTTTTCTTCGCTTCGATCAGAAGTAAATGTCGGCTTAACCTTACTTAAGAATGCCTAGGAATTCTAAGGTGGTTCAATGAAAGAGGGTCGAGAGAAATGTTTTACTTATAGCTAACAATACACTACTTACCCTCGCTTTGGTGGAACGAATCAATTCATTATGTCCATAACACTTTAGCTGCGAACTCATTGTGCATTTTTTTTTAAATCGAACTTCCCTATACTTTCGGTGAATCATGTACGACGGTTCTTCAAGTTACCTACTGGTTGCTTTTAACGATTTATATTTAC